AGATAAATTTATTTCCTAAACGTGAGCTGATGTGGATTGGTAGGGTGCAATTTTTTTTTAAAAAATTGGATATCAATTGATTTATCTAATGAAAAAAACTTTATAAAGTTAGAAATTGCATGGAGAGTACTATCAAATTACATACTAGAATTCAGTAAATAGTAAAAAGGTGTAGCAAATATGAGTATATGAGATGGGCTGTGGCCTTCCCAAGAAAAATATGATCTAGTAGATGTTTTACTATACATAGCATATCAAGGCCAGACGTGAATGCTGATTACATTAGTTCGAACTTACAAAAACTGTAGCATTTCCCGGTCTTTTTGATGTATTCTTTTGTGGTATTTTCCTTTCTGTTATCTACCATGTTGATACTTTTCGTAAAATCAAATTCTGAATATTCCAGGAAAGCATTGCTTCTGCATTTTTGGACAGGCTGCTTAAGTGGACCAAAAACATCAAAATCTCCGATCCTTTGGAAGAAGACTGCAAGCTTGGTCCTGTCGTCAGTGCTGGACAAGTAAGAAATCGCATGTAAAATAGGATATGTGGTTCTCTAACTATAAAGTGCTTCATAAACAAAACGCAGATGTTTAATACTGAGTTGACACAGTAACTCATTAGACGACACTGCTTTTGGTTTGTTATTTTCTAGCGGATCTTGTAGATGAAGTGGTCACACAATTTGTAGACAATATCTATGTACTAATTTTTGTTAACGTGCAGTATGAGAAGGTATTGAAGTTTATCTCAAATGCCAAAAGTGAAGGTGCAACCATTCTTTATGGTGGCGAACGGCCTCAGGTAAAAAAAATCCTTTTTAGCAAAAGCCTGCAGATGCTTTAGTTTGTTTGTCAATTTTTTGTAGAACAACTGAAGTCATCACAATTGAATTGCAGCATTTGAAGAAAGGATATTATGTTCAGCCAACTATTATTACTGATGTTAATACCTCAATGGAAATCTGGAAAGAGGAAGTATTCGGACCTGTTCTTTGTGTCAAAACATTCAAAACTGAAGAGGAAGCCATTGAACTAGCAAATGACACCAAGTGAGTTGCCTATTCAGACTGATGTTAACCATGTTTTTTTGTTCTTCCATTTTTACCTTTTTAGTTAGTTGGAACTAAGTTTTAGTCATTTTAGTATGTTTTCTTTGGATCCACTGTTTTCTAAGAGTATAGTTCTCTCAGAGATTTATATGCCAATAGAAAATAGAGCAAACTTTAGTTGTTTGTTGTTGATTTTTTCCTCCTTTTTTCATAGGTATGGTTTGGCTGCTGCTGTTATGTCAAAAGATGTTAAAAGGTGTGAGAGGTTTACAAAGGTGGGAGCTAGTATTTCACATTTGCTACAAGCAATTCCTTTATAAATCAATATCAGAAGGCGATTGACCTGTTGTTAATTAACTGGAATTTAATTTGCAGGCATTTCAGACAGGGATCATCTGGATTAACTGTTCACAGCCAACCTTTAATCAGCTTCCATGGGGTGGTAAAAAGCGTAGTGGTTTTGGACGTGATCTAGGGGAATGGTAAGCACTCACTAATCTGAACTCACATTGTATAAGATCTAATAAAGTGAAAAATGTTCTTTACCAAAAAAAAGTTTCATTTTCAATGCACGAACTTGAGACCTCTGATCTGATCTGATCGGACTGATAAGTGATAATCGTTTGTGCATTGATGCAGGGGTCTTGAAAGTTTCTTGAACATTAAGCAGGTGACAGAGTATACTTCTGCTGAACCATGGGCTTTTTACAAGTCACCTTCAAGGAACTAGTGAAAGGGAGTTTGTCCATAAAGCAGTTTTAATAATGTGCAAAACTAAACTCTAGTCTATTAGAATTGTTTGTTTTGCTCGTTAATCAATAAACAGTTTTAATAAACCTTAATCGAATAGAGACAATATCAAAGTAGCTTTTCTATTCTATTTGTATCTCGGGTTAGGCCCTTCTTTGGATCTAGTGTGAACACGAGATATTTTGTTTGTCATACCCAAAATTTTATTTTTCTTCAAAACGAGTTACTTCCCAACCTTTATTTCTTATAATTTTTTTTAAAGAAAGTACCAACAACCAAGTTGTCCTTCAGTGGGTACCCACTTTTCAAAATATATAATCAAGAGAAAGAATATAATAGCACCAATATACTCCCCCCTTTTCACTTTTCCATGTGTCGATCGCATTTGATGTGTAAAGTGCATAAAAATTATTAGAATATAAAGAAAAAGATTCTTTTAATTTTGTTATCTTAAATTAAATACGTGCATAACAAAATAAAAATACCTATATTCTAAAACATATCATATTATCTTATATTAAAGTACTATTATTAAAAGTAAAATAGAAATATGATATATTTTTTTGAAACAAACTAGAGCAAAAATAAAAGTAAAATATACTAGTATTTCATTTTAAATGACTTTTCAAAAATGTCAACAAATATATGAAAAGTGTTAGTAGAGAGCCCACCCCTCTTGCTCTTATGAAAGACGTAAAAGGGAATTTACAACGAATGCATATCAAATCCTTCAAAAATAATCATTTCTATAAAATTAATATTATTTTTAAAGAACAATTAGTAGGGAATTTCCTTGATAGATACTCCCATTTATCTTCCTATACAATTTCCACAGGCAAGAGTCAAGCAAAGCAATACAAAGACTCCAAAAGTCAATGACTCATTTCCTCTATATTTCATCCAATCACCAAAAGCTTAAATACCCATTTCCCCTTTACCTTCATTCCATCTCTCCATCCTCAATCTTTCTTCAAAGATTTTTGAAAACTAAACAGTAAAGTTGCAATCTTTAAGCAGCTAAGAAGCAAAAATGGTGAAAATTGGAGAAGGAATTGAAGTCAGAGAAGAGCTAATCAAGAAAGCTTGTAACATAGCCATGGAAGCTCACAATTTATCACCTGAGAAACCTTATATTTACAAGAAAATAAATGGGTCTACTGATGTTGTTATTGCTTTTGCTGGAACTTTGTCTTTTGATAGTTGGTACAGTAACACTTCTTTTGGAGAGACAGAGATTAACACCACTCTGTTTCCATCTTTGAGAAGTGTTGGCACTGATGAGGTAGCTAAGGTCAATGAAGCATTTGCTAGAAGATTTCAAGACATACTGGACAAATCTTCACTTAAAAATGAGGTATACATACTGGGGTTCAATCATCTTGTTCTTTCTTAAAACTCCTTTCGTTTCAATTTGTTTGTCTTGATTTTGACTTGACACGAAAAAACTGTAGTGTTTAATATTAGTATAACCTATAGATAAATGTTTTTTACAACTTGAGTGTACACCAGTTGAAGAATCAAATTCTGTGCAAGTCTTTAGACAAAGAATTTTTTCTTTTTGATTCAATTTTTTTTAAGAGCATTGGAAGTTCTATTCCTGATAGTTCAGTTTGATCAACTTGATTCCGTCTAGTGGTTTATTTATTCCCTCCGTCCCAATTTTAGTGTCATAGTTTGACTAGACACGGGGTTTAAGAAATAAAGGGAGACTTTTAAATATGTGTGTAGTCCTATAAATCTTTTGGTCTTTAACTCCTTGTAGAGTGTTGGGATTGGAAAACTTACAAGATATAAAAAGAGACTCTTTTTTGGAACAGACCAAAAAAGATAGTAAGACACTTAAATTGCAAAGAAGGGAGTATTAGTTATCATGTCAGCAATATGTTCCAAGTCTAAATAGAGTACTGATTCCTATCATAGATTCTATCATGATAATGCCTCTGTAGAGTGTAGACTAGGTTAATGGAAATTAAGCTTCATACCTTCATCTTTGATTTGGAAAGTGAATGTTGATTCATGGAGTTGTGTTGGTTTTAGGTGGAGAAGGCAATGTCAAAAGGAAGACAAGTAGTGTTTGCAGGGCACTCGTCCGGTGGTGCTATAGCTATTCTGGCAGCTCTCTGGTGTCTGGAATGTTGCCGCACAAGACCAGAAGGTGACATGTTAGTCCATCTATACTGTATGACTTTTGGATCCCCTCTTGTTGGCAACAAGATATGGTCTCATGCCCTCAGGCGCGAAAACTGGGCTCGTTACTTCATACATTTTGTCATGAAGTACGACATTGTCCCCAGGATGATGCTTGCTCCTCTTTCATCAATTCAAGAATTGCTTCAAGCAATCTCTCCCTTCATCAATCCAAAGTCCCAGTATTCTCAGCGCGATGCTGTTGCACGATCAAGGAATGCATTGAATTTCTTTATGACTGTAATGAGGAATGCATCCTCTGTTGCAAGCTATGCTGCATGTAATCTGAAGGGATGCACAAACTTGCTGTTGGAAACTGTTTCCAACATTGTTCAACTCAGCCCTTATATACCCTTTGGAACTTACATCTTCTGCACTGGGAATAGGAAACTGGTTGTCGTTGAGAACCCTGATGCTGTTCTGCAGTTACTGTTCTATTCCTCTCAATTGAGTTCCGAAGCAGAAGCTGCAGTAGTCGTTGCTAGAAGCTTAAACGATCACCTGTTGTATACAAACGAAATGCAAGATAGCTTAGAGATGCAAGATGTCATTCATCTCAACAATCTTACTGATATTCCTTTATCTTCAAATGTTGATCCAAGTGATGAAGTTGCAAGTATGAATTCAGCACTGAATGACCTTGGCCTGGTAAGCAATAGATATGGTTAATTTTTCATTTTCAACAGAATTGTCTATCTTGCTCAAGCTAATAGGCGTTTTCACGTTATCTAAATCTCAGAGCACAAGAGCAAGGCTGTGTCTTCGTGCAGCAGGAGAGTGGGAGAAGCAGAAGAAGAAGAACGAGGAAAAGATTGAACAAAATAAGAGAAGCATCACGGACGCATTAAGCAAGATACAGGAGTACCAGACCAAGTGTGATATCCGTAAAGTTGGGTATTATGATGCATTCAAGATTCATAACACTGATGATGACTTCAATGCTAATGTGAAAAGGCATGAGCTAGCAGGTATATGGAATGAGATCATTGAAATGTTGAAAAGGTATGAGCTCCCAGATAGCTTCGAGGGACAAAAAGACTGGATAGAACTAGGGACACAGTTTCGCAGGCAAGTTGAGCCCTTGGATATTGCAAACTATTACAGGCACTTGAAGAATGAAGATAGTGGACCTTACTTGATCAGGGGTAGGCCTAAGCGTTATCGGTTCACACAGAGATGGTTAGAGCATTTTGATAAAGTGCATGCTGGTGCACGTTCCGAGTCTTGTTTCTGGGCAGAAGTGGAGGAACTAAGAAACAAGCCATTTGCACAAGTGCAAGACAAGATTCTGAGTTTAGAAACAGATGCAAATGGCTGGATCCAGAGTAGCCTTCTTGGCGATGATGTTTTCTTCCCTGAATCTACCTATACCAAATGGTGGAAAACACTCCCTACTCAGCACAAACAGACATCTTGGGTATCAAGGAAAATAACTCCTTAGCGCCTTGCGCCTTAATATCTTGATAAAGATGGTATCCGAGCCAACTTACAGACACCTATAACATTCCACCACGTATATTCCAATGCCCCTAATAAGAGCAGCCAGATAAGTAGCTATGTATCATTTTTCAATGCACGAACTTGAGACCTCTGATCTGATCTGATCGGACTGATAAGTGATAATCGTTTGTGCATTGATGCAGGGGTCTTTAAAGTTTCTTGAACATTAAGCAGGTGACAGAGTATACTTCTGCTGAACCATGGGCTTTTTACAAGTCACCTTCAAGGAACTAGTGAAAGGGAGTTTGTCCATAAAGCAGTTTTAATAATGTGCAAAACTAAACTCTAGTCTATTAGAATTGTTTGTTTTGCTCGTTAATCACGAAACAGTTTTAATAAACCTTAATCAAATAGAGACAATAACAAAGTAGCTTTTCTATTCTATTTGTATCTCGGGTTAGGCCCTTCTTTGGATCCGAGGTGGACACGAGATATTTTGTTTGTCATACCCAAAATTTTATTTTTCTTCAAAACGAGTTGCCTTTTCTTAACTTCCCAACTTTATTTCTTATTAAAAAATTTTAAAGAAAAAACAAAGAAAGTACCAACTACCAAGTTGTCCTTCAGTGGGTACCCACTTTTCAAAAATATATAATCAAGAGAAAGAATACAATAGCACCAATATACTCCCCCCTTTTCACTTTCCATGTGTCGGTCGCATTTGATGTGTAATGTGCATAAAAAATAGAATATAAAGAAAAAGATTCTTTTAATTTTGTTATCTTAAATTAAATACGTGCGTAACAAAAGAAAAATACCTATATTCTTAAACATATCATATTATCTTATATTAAAGTACTATTATTAAAAGTAAAATAGAAATATGATATATTTTTTTGAAACAAACTAAAACAAAAATAAAAGTAAAATATACTATTTCATTTTAAATGACTTTTCAAAAATATCGACAAATATATGAAAAGTGTTAGTAGAGAGCCCACCCCTCTTGCTCTTATGAAAGACTCATTTCCTCTACATTTCATCCAATCACCAAAAGCTTAAATACCCATTTCCCCTTTACCTTCATTCCATCTCTCCATCCTCAATCTTTCTTCAACCACATAAATTTTTATCATTTATTTTGGACCACAAATTTTAAAAGTCTTCATTTCTTTCTTAAACTCCGTGCCGAGTCAAACTATCTCACATAAAATGGGACAGAGGGAGTAGAATATAAAGAAAAAGATTCTTTTAATTTTGTTCTCTTAAATTAAATACGTGCATAACAAAATAAAAGTATTTGTATTCTTAAAACATTACATATTAGCTTATATTAAAGTACTATTTTAAAAAGTAAAATAGAAATATGATATATTTTTTTGAAACAAGCTAGAACAAAAATAAAAGTAAAATATACAATATCGTTCAAACTTTTCAAAAATGTCGACAAGTATATGAAAAGTGTTGGCGGAGAGCCCATCCCTCTTGTTCTTATGGAAGACATAAAGGGGAATTCACGACAAATAAAAAGCGAGTGCATATCAAATCCTTCCACAGTAATCATTTCTATAAAAATAACATTTTTGAAGAGTCCGTACATTAAACATTTTGCAGAACAATTAGTAGGAAATTTCCTTGATAGATACTATTTATCTTCCTATACAATTGCCACAGGCAAGAGTCAAGCAAAGCAAAACAAAGACTTCAAAAGTCAATGACTCATTTCCTCTACATTTCATCCAATCACCAAAAGCTTAAATACCCATTTCCCCTTTACCTTCATTCCATCTCTCCATCCTCAATCTTTCTTCAAAGATTTTTGAAAACTAAACAGTAAAGTTGCAATCTTTAAGCAGCTAAGAAGCAAAAATGGTGAAAATTGGAGAAGGAATTGAAGTCAGAGAAGAGCTAATCAAGAAAGCTTGTAACTTAGCCATGGAAGCTCACAATTTATCACCTGGGATACCTTATATTTACAAGAAAATAGATCGGTCTACTGATGTTGTTTTTTGCTTTTGCTGGAACTTTGTCTTTTGATGGTTGGTACAGTAACACTTCTTTTGGAGAGACAGAGATTAACACCACTCTGTTTCCATCTTTGAGAAGTGTTGGCACTGGTGAGGTAGCTAAGGTCAATGAAGCATTTGCTAGAAGATTTCAAGACATACTGGACAAATTTTCACTTAAAAAGGAGGTATACATACTGGGGTTCAATCATCTTGTTCTTTCTTAAAACTCCTTTAGTTTCAATTTGTTTGTCTTGATTTCGACTTGACACGAAAAAACTGTATGTTTAATATTAGTATAACCTATAGATAAATGTTTTTTACAACTTGAGTGTACACCAGTTAAAGAATCAAATTCTGTGCGAGTCTTTAGACAGAGAATTTTTCTTTTCGATTCAAATTTTTTCAAGAGCATTGGAAGTTCTATTCCTGATAGTTCAGTTTGATCAACTTGATTCCCTTTAGTGGCTTTTATGTATTCCCTCCGTCCTAATTTTAGTGTCTTAGTTTGACTAGACACGGAGTTTAAGAAATAAAGGAGACTTTTAAATCTTGTCGTCACTTACAAGATATAAAAAGATACACTCTTTTCGGAACAAACCAAAAAAAGAAAGTAAGACACTTAAATTGCAAGGAAGGGAGTATTAGTTTAGTATTAGTTTATCATGTCAGTAATATGTTCCAAGTCTAAATAGATTACTGATTCCTATCATGGATTCTTTCAGGCTAATGACTCTGTAGACTAGGTTAATGGAAATTAATCTTCATACCTTCATCTTTGATTTGGAAAGTGAATGTTGATCCATGGAGTTGTGTTGGTTTTAGGTGGAGAATGCAATGTTAAAAGGAAGACAGGTAGTGTTTGCAGGGCACTCGTCCGGTGGCGCTATAGCTATTCTGGCAGCTCTCTGGTGTCTGGAATGTTGCCGCACAAGACCAAATGGTGACATGTTAGTCCATCCATACTGTATGACTTTTGGATCCCCTCTTGTTGGCAACAAGATATGGTCTCATGCCCTCAGGCGCGAAAACTGGGCTCGTTACTTCATACATTTTGTCATGAAGTACGACATTGTCCCCAGGATGATGCTTGCTCCTCTTTCATCAATTCAAGAATTGCTTCAAGCAATCTCTCCCTTCATCAATCCAAAGTCCCAGTATTCTCAGCGCGATGCTGTTGCACGATCAAGTAATGCATTGAATTTCTTTATGACTGTAATGAGGAATGCATCCTCTGTTGCAAGCTATGCTGCATGTAATCTGAAGGGATGCACAAACTTGCTGTTGGAAACTGTTTCCAACATTGTTCAACTCAGCCCTTATATACCCTTTGGAACTTACATCTTCTGCACTGGGAATAGGAAACTGGTTGTCGTTGAGAACCCTGATGCTGTTCTGCAGTTACTGTTCTATTCCTCTCAATTGAGTTCCGAAGCAGAAGCTGCAGTAGTCGTTGCTAGAAGCTTAAACGATCACCTGTTGTATACAAACGAAATGCAAGATAGCTTAGAGATGCAAGATGTCATTCATCTCAACAATCTTACTGATATTCCTTTATCTTCAAATGTTGATCCAAGTGATGAAGTTGCAAGTATGAATTCAGCACTGAAGGACCTTGGCCTGGTAAGCAATAGATATGGTTAATTTTTCATTTTCAACAGAATTGTCTATCTTGCTCAAGCTAATAGGCGTTTTCACGTTATCTAAATCTCAGAGCACAAGAGCAAGGCTGTGTCTTCGTGCAGCAGGAGAGTGGGAGAAGCAGAAGAAGAAGAACGAGGAAAAGATTGAACAAAATAAGAGAAGCATCACGGACGCATTAAGCAAGATACAGGAATACCAGACCAGGTGTGATATCCGTAAAGTTGGGTATTATGATGCATTCAAGATTCAAAACACTGAAGATGACTTCAAAGCTAATGTGAAAAGGCTTGAGCTAGCAGGTATATGGGATGAGATCATTGAAATGTTGAAAAGGTATGAGCTCCCAGATAGCTTCGAGGGACGAAGAGACTGGATAGAACTAGGGACACAGTTTCGCAGGCAAGTTGAGCCCTTGGATATTGCAAACTATTACAGGCACTTGAAGAATGAAGATACTGGACCTTACTTGATCAGGGCTAGGCCTAAGCGTTATCGGTTCACACAGAGATGGTTAGAGCATTTTGATAAAGTGCATGCTGGTGCACGTTCTGAGTCTTGTTTCTGGGCAGAAGTGGAGGAACTAAGAAACAAGCCATTTGCACAAGTGCAAGACAAGATTCTGAGTTTAGAAACAGATGCAAATGGCTGGATCCAGAGTAGCCTTCTTGGCAATGATGTTTTCTTCCCTGAATCTACCTATACCAAATGGTGGAAAACACTCCCTCCTCAGCACAAACAGACATCTTGGGTATCAGAGAAAATAACTCCTTAGCGCCTTGCGCCTTAATATCTTGATAAAGATGGTATCCGAGCCAACTTACAGACACCTATAACATTCCACCACGTATATTCCAATGCCCCTAATAAGAGCAGCCAGATGGTATTTGCTTAAGATAATAATAATAAATAGATAGACTAGCAGCTCCACATTACTTCAATGAGAGTAACCAGATGTATGTAGCTCAGATAATTGATGATGTTTCAATTTTCCTGAGAACTGCTCTACTTGTATGGTAGATTAGTAGCAAGAATAGCAACATTCAAGTATTTAAGGTTGGGATACAACAAACTCACAATTTTTCCATGTACACCGAGAATTTCCCACTTGTTTATGTTTTAAGAACCTTAAAGTAACGAAGCTAGCAAAACTTCAATTTTACAACTTCTAATAGGAAGATATCTAGGCAGCATAGTGACAGCAGAAGGTTTCAAATGCACCTTCGCCTTGTATGAGATTTTCTTTCCTCTATCTAAGCCATACTTGGGACTCACTGACAGCCAAGTTCATACAAAAATTTGGAAAAGATCACCTTACGAAACTCGTGAACATCATAATAATGTATAATAAATCATACAAAACCAAACTTGATCTATCAGCCATGGGAACCATGCAAAAATCTCATGTGTTTATCCCTGAAACAAACCAGAGGCTCTAAAGGAATTGAACTTCAAGAACAGCAAGGAGAAGATTAGCTGTAGCACAAAGTCTTCTGTTCCATGGAAAAGGAATCAACTTGTACCAGGAAAAAGGAAGCAACACCACATAATTGCTCTCCAAAAATCAATTGTCACACTAACATAATCTTGTCAAGATCCAGTAAGTAGACTACATAAAGCTTAGAAAAAGTCTACACGTAAATGTTAGCTTTCAACAAAACTAACCATATTGAAGGACTTGATATTTTTACCAGCTTATGAGAAGCTCAAGGTATAGAACATTTTTCGAGATACTTCCAAATGAACACCCCCAAGAATGATCTAATCCACATGTCCAGTGAGCACACAATTTGAATATAGAACTGTTAGGGAATACAACAAAGATAACAAAAAATAAGAACGTCAAATATACAGCTGAACAGTCTGATCTCAACAAGACTACTTCACTTGATAAATCCCTACACTTTAAAAGTGACTCCCAAAGCGCAAGAACTTAGCATTTCGCAAGAGAATCTAAATATCTATCCTCAAAATTCACCTCTTTATTACCTTGAGGCAGAGCATTGATACATATCTGGTGGCAGTAAACTTATCAGTACATATCTGCCGAACTAAAAGCCCACAATGTGGTAAGGATGCATTTTGTGGTTCGATTCCAAACTGAATTGAAGAGAAAAGTGAGAGCAATAGACCAGTTAACAGCTAAGTTTGAGGTGTATATATATATTTATATATATATATATATGCTGTGTATTTTATCAGATTCATAGCAAACATTCAAGATGAAGAGCCGCAAAACTATTCAAAAAGAAAGATATTCATGCAAAGATTGATGCCCCATTGTTCTCTCATTTTTATTCATGGTAATCTTATAGAAGGTGACGAAGTGCTCAAAGAGACGAGGACATTTATACCATCAAATTCAATCTATCTTAACCTTTATCCACCTTATCTATTCACATAAGGAGTCTTCTACATCAGCACAAGCATCATATCTATAATGAGAAAAATTATAAGAGAACTGTAACAGTTCCCCTGTGCTTTCAGAATCTCGATCCTATATCAACATCTAGCTAAGAAAAATTGGAGTCTAACAAAGACAAAGTCAAGCCACACAGAGAAAGAGGACACAACATACACATTTATAGAAAAACAGAATCTTCCTACGACCTCGAGATCATGCTACAGGAACGAGCCACTTGAAACATCAGGCCGCCTGCATCTTTGGTTGTCTCTCCCCCAACCGTGTCATGTTTATACTGCTTCCTGCAAGCTGGACAACGCCCATCCTCCTCAAGAATCTTCTTGTGACAAAAGAGACAAAGCCTAAACCCGCAAGGACAAGGGAGAAAACTTGTATCTGTAAAATCCAAATCCTCACAGCATATAGGACATGATGTCGGTATTGCTGCACTTTTACATCCCCAGACAGAGCCTCCCCGGTAATGCCGCCCCGAATTCATAGGGAAAGTATACTGTTTTGACAAATTTGGAAGACTTTGGGGACGGAATTCATCATCGGGCCTCCACGCCTGAAAGCTGACAGGAAATCCAGGTATAGTTCCTCTGCCCTTGGGATTCTGCTGTGATGTATCCATCGCTGGTACCTTCCCGTCAGAAACTTCTTGTTGAAAACTCATATGCACCTCTGGAGCTGAATCCAAGCTAGAGTTATGCCGCTCCTGCTCCTTATCAGTGGCAGCTAAAGCATCAGCAACAGCTTCCCAATCATCCAAGCAGTCATCGTCCCCTTCGTTATCTTCCTCACTCATACTTACTGAGCAACACCCACCACTACTACTAAAACCACCACTGCTACTACTGCTGCTACTGCTGCTGCCACCAGTGAAATTGGTCCCAGAATAATTTCCTTCCAACACACTACTAGTGTGGCTGGTGGGGCTATTAGAAGGTGAATCAAAATCACTGTAGGTGTTCGTGTAACCCCCATTTTCCTCTGCTTCTCCTCTCGGCTTTATAGCTAACTTCTCCATCAATTGGCCCTTTTCATTAGTAACCTGCATCCCCTGCTCACAAGCCCCACCCCCACCATTAAGTTCCTGCTTGGAGCCTTTATTCTTCCCTACACAAGCCCCAACCACCAAGAATTAGGCACATAAATATAGGAAAGCAACATAACTAATCACAGAAACGCAGAAAAGTACCAATCTTGAGATTGATTAATTCAAACACCAAATGCACATACTTTTTTTTCCTTCAAAGATTTTAGGCTGTAGTCATGCGCAAACAACTAAAGTTGACACGAAGTTTCACTTAGACACCTCAAGTAGACTGTGTACCTACTACACACTAACAATACCTGAATTTTGTATCAATAAGACACTTGTTGCTGGCATGGCATAATGAGTTAAATACACTCATTTGTAGCGCATTTAAGGGGTTTATTTGGCAAATTTTATTCTATTTTTCTTTCTTCCTCCCCATTTTTCCAGTCACTACCTCCCACCATTTCCCCAAGCTTAAACTCCTTTAATGGAGGTCAAATTTTCCGACTCAAATTTATTCTAGGATTTGTGAAATAGTGATTAGCTTTATTTTGTCGTTGACATCCAATCTACTTATTAAAAAGTCAAGGAACTTTTAAAAATTGTTCCAGCAAATCCATCTACCACCATTCCATGTAATAAAAATCATGATGCTTATCTTGGACATGTTGTTGCAGCTTTTTCTGTGTAATGGAGTAATAAACATGCAGAAAATTGACATATTTTTTAAGATCTATTGCTGGCAAATATTGAAACATTGAGTTCTGCACTTCCATTGGAGCAATGGACGAGTGGTGTTTGTGGTGAACTTTCTTGCTTTTTGTGGAGGACGAAGAAATGGAAGGATGCAGAGGGCGGCAACAACAACAACAACAACGACAACAACAACAACAACATGCCCAGTGAAATCCCACTAGGTGGGGTCTGGGGAGGGTAAAGTGTACGCAGACCTTGCCACTACCTCGTGGAGGTAGAGAGGCTGTTTCCGGGAGACCCTCAGCTCAAGAACAACAAATGGGGGTGGCGGAAAAGACAATGAAAAAGGAGGGGTTTGGTCGTGGAGAAGACAATTTGGATGGGGTCGGGAGGTCTGCTTAATAAACGTGTTTTCACTTTAATTTGGGACAATATTTTAAAATTCAAAATTTTAGTTAATTTGGAAAGTCCTAAATATAAAAAGATACTTAAATGACTATTTTGTCTAGTGTGAAATCTATTTTTACATGATAAAAAAAGGAACTTTCCAGACACGTCTTTTCCGGATGTCTCCATTCAAGAACCACAAACCAATTAACTTTAACAGGTTGGAGTAATTCTCCACCCACTGACACTATTTTACTATGGACATCAAATTTTTCAACATAGTCATACTCTATATCATAATATATTCAAGGCGCCACAATGAGATAGATGAATACAACATGTATATATAGGCCAAGAACTGGGGAAATTTTTTTGTTCTTGTTCTTGTAGAATTGTTATGACTTTAGAATCACAACAATTGGTATGGCATATATATGTTAGAAGAAGCCATATGTTCTCCGTAAAATTAGGATTTCTTACCTCGTAGATTTGGGCAAAAAAGCCACATGTTATTGATTCATTGGTCTCTTTGCTATGTGTTTTGGCCTACATTTTCTTTCTCTTTATTTATTTATTTTGGGTGTGGCGTGTGTATAACATGATCTAGACAGTTACAGTAACTTAAATGACCAATTAATCCCTATGTTGCTCGGACTCTTCAAAAATGCCAACTGGTGCGTGTCAAATTCGCCAAAAGTAGTGTATTTTTGAAGAATCCGAGACGGATGCAGCATCAAAAGTGAAGAGTCCGCGCAACTAAGATTAATCCACATAAGAAACGTTAACTCAATGGGTGTGAAATACCCCTGACTAGAACTAATATGACAAAATATTTATTAAAAAAACTTGGTAATTGTATATATTCAAGTCCAAATTCCAAAGAAATGAATTTTAGCCCAACCAAAAAGGGCAGATTACTAAATACTAAAATACATGAAAGATATGCTAAAAAAGGAGAAACTTTAACAACCTTGTGAGAGCCACTGTTCACGTCGAGCATCAAGCTTGCACTGCTTCAACTTAGCCGCCCGATTAACCTGAAATTCACAGCAAATATCAGAAATACATAGCACAATCAAATTAGGGGAAAAATATCCATAAAAGCTTAAATTTTATCAACATGTAAAAGTAAATAGAACAAAAAAAACAACAAATTTAACAAATTGAACAAATTGAACAAATTGTTACCCTTTTTTTCTTGCCAAAATCTCTGGGATTAGAGGAAGCAACAGGGATTGAAACATTGACAATTGAATCGGAAACCATTATTGTTAGCTGAGTGGAATCGGTAAATCAAAAATTTGGGAAAAACCCTAAAAATTGATCAGAGAAATATATCTGAAGAATTTAGGTGGATAGGTTTAGAGAGAGAAGATAACGGAAATTTGCTTTGTGTAACGCTTGGCTTTTTCAATATTAGAAAAGTTCTTTACTATATATAAAAAATAGTGTACCGAAATTGCCCTTGGTTGTTACCAAATCTATACCGCAACCCTGTTTTGTTAAAGTCTCGGAACAAGATTTTTTCGAAAATAGTCTTTTAATTCCTCATAAATATCATATCTTAACCATATTTTATTAATGAGATTATATTGAATATGTTATTATTGTTGAAATGTACATAATCTCAAAAAGGACATTCAATAAAAAAAATTATCCTGTCTGTCCTAATTTGTATGACATTATTCAGATTTTGAAAATCAAACAAGAAAATCTTTGATCGCGATTTATTCATGTTTTTAAATTTATAATTTATGTGACTTATAGTATTTTTATGTAGTTTCTAAATATGTAAATTACTTTTCACAGTCTTGGGACTTCCATGTTGGAGGTCTCAAGTTTGAAACCCCTTGCCACCAAAAGCAAGAGGTTTGTTCGTTTTCTAGGTCAAGCTCATTACACCGGATTTGCCTAGTTCAGGTTAGCTCTCTTGTGTGGTTTGCGAGCTATTGCATAGGAGTAGGGGTTTTACCCGTATGCACCCGAAGAACAGCGACTGCGAATTTCCCTTATCATAAAAAATAAAAATAAAAATAAAACTTAAAGATTATATGTCCAAATTTAATTAAAAAAGATTGACTCTCGATATCCAGACAATGTCATGACAAGAGAAACATTGACATAAACAAATAAGATGTTACTCTATTGTGTCCTCATTATTTGGTTAATCAAAATTATTCTCTAACTACAACTTCTCTAAACTTCTTACAATGTACTACTACTATTTTTAACTAAAACAAAATTATGTATACTAATTCAATTTATTAGTTAAATATGTAAAGTTATTTAGAAAAAAGAAAATAATATTAAAATGTGATGTTTTACCATACAAGTAACTATTTCCACATTTGAGTATATATACGCAATGGGCATTTCTCTCTCAATGGAAAAGCAGTTAGCCTTGCTTTTTTGCTTATGGACACAAGTTTCCTTTAGAATTGCACCAAAAGAACCATATGGGAAACAAAACAAAATGGGCATGTAAGATATGATAAAAGGAAATTACCTAATTTACTATTTTCTACATTATTTTTCATCTTTTGGTTATTGTATGACATATGATGTGTTGTGATATCTTTAGTACAATAAAATGAACTTGCCTTTTATGGGTGATTGCATACTCAAAAGGAAAATCCATTGCCATGCTATCTATGTATGTTACTTGTAAATAGAATTAATAGGTAAATCATACAACTGTGGAACTTCGAATATCGTTGTGGAGAATTTCAGCAACAATATAGCAATGGAAAATGAATAAACATGACATACCGTCCATCCAATTTGTTTGTTGGATGGAGAAGATTATGAAGTGCTGCTGTGTTTTAAGTATCCTATGGAAAAACTGTGAAAGAGTCGTTACATAATGCGACAAGATTCAAATATACTCCGAAATTTCTGGCAGGACCTCAGCTAGCAACACGATGACCAAGGGTAGGACTTGAAGACGGGTCATTCTTCCTGCTGAACTACAGATCCTTCTTTCTCATTTTTCTACATTTGCAGGAAGAAAAAGGTCATATATCAGAAAGCGTTCTTGTAGAACTAACAATTTAATTAATGAACCATATGATATGTAATATTCAGATTCAGCAAAGATGATCTAGGAGAAACGGTGCACTGTCAGCGTTCAATAGGCCAAAGGCAGAATATGTACAGAAGGTCACCAACAGAAATCACAGAAAATGTGCAGGGAGCATATGTGATGTATAGCAAGGTGCCTGAAACTAATAGTGCTTCAAATTTCATACCAATTAGCAAATATAGCACGTTAGCAAGCACAAAACATGAAGGATGGTCTAGCTGCTAACTTGACTCATTACACACATCAGCCTTAAAGCAGTTGCACATACACAATGAGTGAAGTAGCCAACTTAGAACTAAACAACTCTTCAAGTATGTTCTCAATCAGAACCCCCATGCTCAAACACATCTTTCAGGAACTCACTAGATCACTAAAAACAATTGCACTTGAATACATCATTAGTGCTCAAGAAATGAAAGCACTTGAGTTGCTAAAGCCTTAAAATACTAAAGCAAAAAAAGAGATGCATCAACCAACATAACACATCAGTTTTTGTGAGCCAGTACTTGGTAGTTTGATAACTAAAATCATTATACCTAATTGGTAAGACTCCAAGAAAACCAAAATAACCATCCACCTATGATGTTGCTTGAACTCTTTAAAAATGTTGACAGGTGCAGGTCGGATCCTCCAAAAGCAGAGCATTATTGAAGAATCCGATACAGGTGCAGCAACATTTTTGGAGGGTCCAAGCAACATAGCCATCCACCTTGCATGTTAGATGGACTCTGAAATATGCCAGCAAAGAGTTCCACTGATCAGTGATCTCTGGCAGCAGAAATTTTCATTTTTTATCACATTCTTTTCCACTTTGGAAAAGTCCATCATTTACAGTCTGTTTCAAAGAGAGCAGAAGGGTAGGAGATAGGTGTACAAGTGAAAGGTTCTGCTAGATACCTACCCAAGTCCGGTCTTTTAGCCCCTTAAAGAACTAAATGGACAAAATATATCTATTTATCCCTTCCACTTATTCCAAATAAAAATAATGGGAGGGAGGGACATAAACTAATGAGTTTCTCCCTTCTTTACCCTTCTCCTACCCTTAAGTAACTAAACACCTCATTAAAAGTCCACATCCAGCAGTTTGACGATTAACAAGACACAAAGACAGGTATTTCTTCGTATTAATTTTGATAAAACCAACTGCCTGATGTTTATCTCAAATAAATCTACCACGGTTAACATAAACTAAATATTAAATTAGAACTTGTTGTGTAAGTGCACAAAAATATTAGAGCTAAATCATATGGATAAGATTTAGGGGAAAGGTACAGGCTCTTCCAACGCCTAAATGACAGCTGGAACTTCAGTCCTACCTGTCTAGCACACTGAACAGCATGGTTTTCAAGTAGAAGCCAGAAGGCAGACATGAGGTACTACTCTTGAGCTGAACAATCCTCATTGATGTATTGCGTCGATACAAAGGGGCAAATATACAAAAATCAATAGACAAACAATTGCTACAAGAGAAAGAAAATGATAGTCAATCTTTCAAATTAGTACTAGAAGACATTCTTCATGACACACTAGGAGCTACCCACTCCGTTTCAATTTGTTTATCTAGTTTTGACTTGATACGGAGTTAAAGAAAACATGTCGTGTGGAAAGTTAGAATTAAAGAGTTGCAAAAAAGGAAATAGACCTTCTTTTCTAAACGAACTAAAAAAAAGGAAAGTAACACAAACAAATTGAAATAGAGTGAGTATGTTAAAGTAGGTAATTCGGGTAAAGTATCAGGTACACTCAAGTCTAATTCTTCACTAAGTTAAAGCATATTTTCAACAACCCAACCAAAAACCCATATCACACACGTTCTACATGGGCAAATTAAAGGCAAATGAATAATCCATGTCACATAGATAAGGAGATAAACGAGGCATGAACTAATTTCTTCGCTTCGATTCCGCCCCTAAAGCTAGCTCCTACTCCTCCTCTTCTCCTTTAGGATAGGATCCTCCATGGTCCTTTTTACATAACACTCTCGGCCGCAACAAAATCAAATAAGCATGATGGAAGATCAAATAGGGATACTAAAATTGGTTTGAGATATCTTCGCAAATAAAATACACAAAACCCATAAATATTCTCATTTCAAAGGTAAAGGGCATCACAGCTAGAAATCCCACAATTAGGTTTTCCATCAAACAGAAACACAACTAGCAATCATAGACTAACTGCTTATAAGGGATTGTGGAGGTTACCGATTGGGCTTTATGCCAAGAGAGACCACGGTAGACGTTGACGGAAAATGTCGCCGTCAGATAAATGGTGGTGACGCCGAGCCCCCCTACGAAGGCCTTAAACACCAAGTCCCCTGCCTTGCTTGCTGCTCCCATTTTCCGGCGTTTACCTTCGAACGTTTAGTTGTTGGGATTGAAATGGAGAAGATGACTTCAATATTGCAAAGCACCAAAAAAAAAACCCTCTTTTTTCCAACTTGGAAGGGTTTATGATTACCACCTTTTATTTTCTTGTAAAATTAATGGTAAAAAAGTATATCTAAATAATATTTTTTTTGCGAGTTTACCTCAATTGTCATGGTTCCATTTACCAGATGCGTGTTCGAATATAAAAAAAGAAGTGATAATTTTAGTAGGTAACTGAAACAATGGATAGAGAACAAAAACTCGTAAAAGATAATAGTTTAGATGTGTTGGGTTTTGACCATTTAATTTTTCTTTTATTAATAATCAAGCTATTGTGCTTAATTCATCTTTTATCCCTATGGATAAAAGTTGATTACTCTTAATTTTTTTAGTTTGTCACCTAATATTCCGTATTCACTTTGGAGCTCAACTAATTTAGATTTACACTCTCTTCCAAAGAAGATTCTATTTTTAAGGCTCAAATAGGAGATCCTTGATAAAAAATGACGACGTACTTACCCCTCTAACACAATCTTTTGATTATAAAATTATGTTAGTGAAAGTTTATTTCATAGACATAATACTATCAGAAGAGACAAAATATCAATACTATGAATATAGGAATCAGCAGATGTAAAAATTATCTGGTGTTGTCTTCTCGATTGAGATTGGGTTAGCAAGGAAACAACAATGGATGTTCCTACGTACCACATTAATTCAATTACATAGTCAGATGAACAAATGAACAGGGGTTCACAATAAACTACCAAAACTGTGATTCTTTATCAACAGAAGTATTCCATCAGTTATCTTTGAAAGTCCCATTCTTAATCAATAGAGACATTTCACAATTAAATATGTAAAAGAATGATTAAAAAGACAGCTCAGTGAACTAAGCCCTCGCTATGCACAGGTCCAAGAAAGGGCCGGACCAAAATGATCTGTTGTACACAGAGTTTGCATTTATGCAAAAAAACTGTTTCCACAACTCAAACCCAAGATTTCCAGGTTACATGAAAATAATTGTACCAGTTATGGAAATGCTCTCCTAAAAGGATGATCAAAGAGGAAAGGTGAACATCATTAAGTTTGAAAGCTACATAATATACAAGGTTAGCATCCAAATCCAAACAAAACAATAATAATAGTTAACCTACTGGATAACAGAGGTGGATCCAGGAGTTGAAGTTTACAAGTTCCTACAGTGATCTCAAGTTAATATACAATAAAAACTAGGTTCACTAATTAGTGGATTTCTTGGTACAAATACATGACCTGGGAAAAAGTTAATCCGGTGCATTAAGGCTAGATACGGCATCTGCTGGACATGTAAACAATCAATTGGATCGTGCATCTCACTCGTAAACCTCCAACCTAAATGACATGATGGATCTCAGAGATAGCTGACAGAAGACATTCCTTATTTTATAGCACAGAAGACATGGCACACACAATATCACTAGCACTTCTTAGACAAACACATTAGCTGCAGAGAACAAACAGGGAAGATATGAGCAACCAAGAGACGAACAATATATTTTCAGAAACCATAAACTAGTTTAACATGTTAACAGTCATCAAAATTTGCAGCACGCCAACAAAAATAGGGCAATATGATAACATTACTTAACAGTACTGAGAATTAAACCAGCATAAGAGTTGATAAATTCATTATTCCTAAATGTTCTTTCTCGAAAAATTTATCCTGATGGAATATTCCAACTTCCATAACATCTTTCTATGAAGAAGCTTACTAGCGTGTTCGACCAAACTATTCAGAAACTAGAAGTGTGTGCTTATTTTTCTGTTTTGGCAAAGAAACTGAAAAATAGTTTCTCCTTATGAGTAGTACTATAAGCTGTTTTTTGTTTTTTGAAGACAAAGTACCCTTAGCATATGGATGAAAACTAATGTCATGCATTGTTAACAACCCATCTATGACCAAAGTCTCATAAACATGCTCCCTCTCTCTATTTTGTGAACTTATCTTTTGTATTTTAATGCAAAGAAGTTGAATAACTAGAGTCTCATAATGCATATATCAAATCAATTTACCTATTCAAAACATATTAATTATAAAGTGAATCTTTACATGTCATTTTGTGTAGTTCAACGCAAAAAGATACTTCGGAAAGATTGGTCAAACACAAAAAACTTCTACAATATTATCCAAAAGTTCTTCTAGTGAAACTTCACTTGACATAAAGTCCTCAAAATAAACAAGTTCCGAATTTGGTCGACTAAACTATAAACATAGTCCTTTTTAAGAGTAGAAGGTTTGGTCTTTCCCACTAGAACGATGCCTCCTTAGTATAAACTTTGTAAATGCTAGGAACTGATGAAATTGTGGAAGGCAGTCAGTAAGTCCAGAAAGCAGATAACCTTAATGGAGTTGCAACATATTCTCAGAACTCCTGGCAAATTCCCCACAAAGACCTAAAAATAGACAGAACTTCCAAGTTTTCTATGTATTAAAACTTTTAGATAACCAAAAAGACATCAAATTTGACACCTCTCCTTTCTCTTGTTTCATTTTGGATGGGAAAAAAGCACATTATAACAATTGGATGAGCTCTACCAGCCTGCCTTCTCATACCAAAAATTATACATACCGTCACATTCATGTGAGGGAACACTTGCTACATATATCAAATTGAAGGTATACCAGTTAAATTAGTATATAAACAGAGATAGGTATACAACATAATTATCAACTGATCAAAGGGAACAAATAAGCAAATAACCAACCGGTTGAGCAACCTAATGCCATTTGCCAATTGTCCTGAGATGATTCTGTCACTGAACTCATCCTGTGTCTCAAAAAGACTATCTAGTTTCACACTTTTTTTTTGTTTGAGAGCTCTTTGCAATTGAAGCTTTCTCATCAGATACACTCAACAATTCTCTTTTCCTCTTTCTTTGGTATGTGTACTTAAACACTCTATCATTTAGAGGTTGGCTAGGGCCCCGATTTTTTACACCAGTCACCCTTGACTCTGACTTTAACAGTTGACTGCAAAGATCTTTTATAAAGAACAACTGATTGCAAACATTTTCAATATCTTCTTCTGAAAGATCCATCTTTCCCATCAACTCCTCATGCTCATCTATTGCATAATGAACACCAGAAGCCTCAATAGACTGCGGTTTATTATCAGAACTTTCTGCATATCCCATCTCTATGCCTTGTTCACCTTTTCCTGTGGACAATCTTTGGGCCATCTCAGAAGGATCTTCACTTGGAGCATTGCCTCTTGCTACAGTTGAATCATCTGTCAAGAAATTATTGGTTGGCATGTTTTCCAACTTCAAAGAATGTTCAGAAAATGTTTCATTTTGAATGATTTCCCTATCTGACAGGTTTCCTTCAGCAGCATGAATTATCTGCGTATGTCCATTTTGGTATAACTCTAGCGCTTTGCCTGTCAAACTTAAATCCGAACTAGCAACAGAACAATTTCCGGGGTTAACCTTTGTATGACAAGAATGGTAGCCCTCAGTTTTCTGGTTCATACTGTCAACTTCCATGTTAGAAGTTGTCACTGAATCATCCTGAGATTCTGGAGGCAATACAACTGTGTTGTCCTTTGTTAGTTCTCTAGGATCAGTACTATCAACATCCAGCAATTGCTTTTCTTCTTTCTCTTTGCTGGCAACTTTCTCAAGTTCAGCTTGAACTTCTCTCAACTCAACCCTGAGATCACTTACAATATCTTCTGCTTCCTCAAGTTGAGCTTCAAGTTCTTCAATCTTCCTCTGTTGACTCAACGATGTCAACTCTGCTTCAATAATCTGTCAATAAGATATGAAAAAAATATAAATAGTGGATACTGGCAATGAATATGTTTGCAAGATGTCTTCTAGATGAATGATATATAAAGAAAGGAGAAAAGTTAAAGTTAGTTACATCTACTAAATAATTGGCCAGAGGGGAATCGGGAATAAAAGAAGTTTCTTTTGTTACTGAGAATCAAAGAAGCTTTGTAAAATCAGAATGGGAAGAACTGGCATTTATCTCTCCTTATTAAAAAATAGAAATAAAAAAGGCTCAGTTTTATCTTATTATTTTTTGATAAATCCATTATTTCAGTCCTCGAATAACAATAACACTATTGTCATTACTCAATGTTTCTATGCAACAAGATTGGCGATGTTGCAAGTGTCTACCAATCAATACCACTGCCAATCCTTGGTAAATAGACTCCGGTGCCACTCATCATATCACAACGGAGCCGCACAACGTACAATCGTATCACGACAACAAGGATGTCAATGTGCACGATGGTAACAAATCCATATCACATATTGGCTCTACTGACATACAAGAATCAAATTATATTTTATATCTGTTTCCAAAACTGTCAGGATAATCTAACATCTGTTGGATGCTTTCCTTTTCATTTTGTTGTGAAGAATCTGAAAACTCAGACATCGTTGGCATGCGGCTGGAACAAAAGTGGACTGCATGAGTGGCCCATTTCACCTCCACAAGCTCACATGTAAGCTCATTAGCATCCATTTTATAAATTGACACTGAAAAGCTCTAACAACAACAATATACCCAGTGAAATCCCACTAGGTGGGGTCTGGGGAGGGTAGAGTGTACGCAGACCTTACCACTACCTCGTGGAGGTAGAGAGGCTGTTTCCGGGAGACCCTCAGCTCAAGAACATCAAATCTAAGTGACAGGAGAGCTATATATAAAACATAACAACCAATCCAAAAGATAGTGTATAATCAACAAATGATACAATAACATCAAGAAAGTAATGTGAGGAGTGAAACGCAGTAAACAGCAATACGGCTAGGACTACTCCAAACGCTAACAGCCCATACCCTCGCGAGGGACGGCAACACGCTAACCCTACTAACCTTCCACCTTAATACGCGACCTCCACTCCTTCCTATCTAGAGTCATGTCCTCGGTAATGTGAAGCCTAGCCAAGTCTTGTCTAATCACCTCTTCCCAATACTTCTTGGGCCTACCTCTACCCCTCCGCGTACCCTCTACCACCATTTCCTCGCACCTCCTCACTGGGGCGTCTGCGCTCCGTCTCTAAACCGCTTTAAATTATTTGAAGTGATTTGTCTTGTTCTATCTCTTGATAAAAACTTGTATTATTGCATCTTTGTTGATCAATACACAAACACTTCGCTCTACACACTAAAAAGGTAAAAATGAAGTCAAATAGCTTTTTCAAAAATTTCATCCGTAGGTAGAAAAACATTTTGATACCAAAATTTGAACATCTTTTTACTCCATCCTATATGCCTTAGCATCGTTACATTATTGAAACTGCAAGAACATTTTTATGTGAGGAAGAATTAGGAATCAATCAAATCACCCAAGTAGGATTCATTGAGTTCAGATTCAGAGCTGACTATCTTCGACACTTTTTTGGTCCTTAGCATGTCACCATGTTGCTTATCTAAAAACGTCTACTCACCTCACTTTTAAATAATTACTCCCCCTTTCAAAATTATTTGACAAGACAGAAGACTGCCTCTCAACGAACTTGCTTATGTTAGCCCTGACTTAAACTATACTCCAAAAATAAACATGAACCCAAATCTACCTCATGTGTTCATCTCAGATTTTTCTCGGCCTTGGACATAATCTTTGGGTTATAGCGAGTATAGCCTACTCTTGTGTATTAATCAATAAAGATGCCATAATAAACCTCACGGGGTCTTATATGCCATGTCACGTCTAGGGTGTACTTTGGGTCGTGACACACACCCAACTTAGGCTTTTGGCCTATGTTTGCTATTCAAACAAACCAATGCTTAGAATAGGATTTCAAGGGTGAGAAGTTAGGGACATATTTTGTTCATGAGGTTTCAATGAGGTTGACAAGAAAGGTTTTAGGCTCAAATGCTGCCAAAATGGTTGCACACCTTCACAAGGTAGTTACAAAAGGTATGAAGATTTGGGTTCCCTCTCAAATAAATAAATTATCAAGCGATAAAATTGAACAAGCCCCCATTTAGAACTTATCAGAGTGAATTTGTGAGACGAATGTTGATGTGCTTTAGTAGACAAACAAGAACTACAAAAGATAAAAGTGTCTTGCTCAGAGAATGGTAGCAAGAAGTTATTCAAGATGTACTTAAGACCTCTAAAGTGGGATGACCAAGTGGAAATGGGAGTTGCATTGGAGGACATGTGCACTTGTGGAGGAAAATGAGACACTCATACAGTCCATATCTTTTGGCTGCATGCCAATGGCGTCTTTGTTTTCAGGTCTTCACAACAAAATGGAAAGGAAAAAATTCAGAGGTTAAATTTTCCTAACATAATTTTGAAATAAAGATAAGATTATGTTTGATAGTTGGAGAGCACAGAGTGTGTGTTAGCCTAAAATCATTATTTGATGCTTATAACTTAAGTGTCAATATTCTGAGGATTGGTTGTAGTATTGAAAAGTGTGAGATATAGTTGGCTTTGGCTTCAAATTGATTGTGGGACTAAGATCAGCAGACACTTGCAACATGGTCAATTTTGGTTTGAGCAAAGAACACCAGTGCTGTAAGTGAAAAAATTTCATGGCCAAATGCCTAGTGTTCAATAGAGTTCACCTTAGAATCCATCATCTCTTTGAGCTTCATCAGCGTCATTAGCCCCTTTTCTTTCACCACTTGGAGCTCCTCTTGAAAACATTGAGCTTTCTGTTCCGACACCATAATCCTCGTCGCTGCTTCTTTCTCTGTGTTCAAGACTACATCCGTATACGCCTTTTCTAAAGCTATTAATCTCTGTAACCCAAAAAAAACATTAACAAATGTAACAAAAACACCAATATACTCATTGCAATCTCACTAGTGAAGTCTGGGGAGGTTACGATGTTAACAAATGAAACAACAACGATAACATACTCAGTGCAATCACACAAGTGGATTCTGGGGAGGTTACGACGTTAACACATGAAACAACAACAATAATATACTCGGTGCAATCTCACAAGTGGAGTCTAGGGAGGTTACAATGTTAACAAATGAAACAACAACAATAACATACTCGGTGCAATCTCACAAGTGGAGTCTAGGGAGGTTACAATGTTGACAAATGAAACAACAACAATAACATACTCGGTGCAATCACACAAGTGGAGTCTAGGGAGGTTACAATGTTAACAAATGAAACAACAAGAATAACATACTCGGTGCAATCTCACAAGTGGAGCCTGGGGAGGTTAAAATGAACGTACACCTTACCACTGCATTAGACCAAGTGGCACAACCGAAATTTTCATTAATGAGTTTCTAAATATGAATAAGTAAACACATGAAGAAATCGAAGGCAATTTCAATATCTACTATCTATACATAAAAAATAGTTTTAACCATGTATAAATTCGAATAAACCCCTTCAGCCCTACTTGGTTCCGCCCCAACTTAGATTTTACCACACTATCCTTTTTTTTATGACCGTGGTATTCGGACCAACTTTCACGCGCTTGGACTAATTCCACAGGATACCTGTCACCGCCCCAACTTTGACCTTACCACACTACCTTTTTTTTAAGACCGTGGTATTCGAACCAACATTCATACACGTCGACTAATTCCACGGGATAGCTGCCACCGCCCCAACTTATACCTTACCACACTACCTTCTCTTTTTTTGTGACCGTGGTGTCCGGGCCAACTTTTGTGCCACCTCCACCCACCAGGAATAAGTATCAGGTAACTCTGTCCACCAAGGCTATGACAATTGGGAAAAAATCAACTAGTGTTTTTAGTCTCCGCTAGTTTTGAACCTGAGACCTCAAATTTCTCAACCACTTTGATTGACCACTACGACACACCCTTGGGTGCCTTACCACACTACCTTTGTGAGGTAGAGAACACGATTATTAGAAAATAAGACAGCAAAAACTAAGATTTAAAGCAAATGAAGCAACAGATAGTAACAAACACATACAAAAATTATCAAAAAAATATATCACTAAATTTACAACTAATTAATACTACTACTCCTCAAACCTCAATCCTAAACTCGTTCTGTTATACTCCAACATAATATAAGAAAATAAAAATAACATTTATCATAAAAATGAAAACATGCAAAAAAAAAAATTGTCACCTCGTCGGCATCCATTGCTGTTTTCTTGAACTAAGCACAAAGCTGTCGTTTGAGGTTTTCCAGACCGAAATGTGAAGAACAAAATTTACGAAGGTGGTTTTTTTGCTTAATAAGAAAACAGGATGAAATTGTTTTGCTTTAGTAAATTACTCAAATACCCCTGAAAAAGAATTAAAGTACATTATTGTCACTGGTACTGTCAGTACATGAGGAAAAATTGGAGGGAAAAGCGGATCTAGAGCGGCAACGGCCTAAAAATATTTGTTTCTTTATAAAATGTTAAACGCAATTCACAAAAAAAAAGTGTTTAATATAATCATTTTAAAAAAGAAAATGCAAGTTTGAATCAAACTAATATGAATTAATGGTAAAACAAATACTTTTAAACTATCACTTTTTTGCGAGTTTCATACTTCAATTATCACTCGATGTTAAGTTGATTTAACTAACATACGGCTATTGTCAATTGGGAATAAATATTTGGCTAACTCCATGTCAAGGTGCATATTAATAGTGATAGTTTAAATAGGTAAATAGAACAATGAATCATTGAATAGTTAAAGTCTATTTTTTAACCATTAATTCAATTATTTTGCTTCTTTCATAACTGGATAAAGTAAATAACTTGTTGTAAAAGGTAAAAACATGCTTAAAAAAAAAACTGCTAATGTATAAAAGGTAAAAATAAATTACTTGGTTGGTCTTTGATTTAGGTGATTGGTCAAAGAGTTTTGGTTTAACTGATTCATTTTTCTATCTTGTAGTAGTAGTTGTTTTGTATCAAATTTGGCCACTTACAAAATGAGCAACAGAAGAAAAAAGTGACATTTTCATATCTCTTGTGCGTAAAAATGAAGATCTCTTGGAAAACATTTAAAATCCAGTTTCTCCTATTCAGCTGCACGTTCTGCTAAATCATCAAAGTTAGAATGAAACGCGAGCCCTTTAATCACCCAAGCCAGTTGCCACAACACCCATTTCTCTATCACCATTCACCAGCAAACTTATCAATCTTTCAAAGTTGATAAGGCTGGCTAACTTTGTACAGAAGCTGCCGCAGATCAAACCTGTTGTTGTCTTTGGGTGAATAACGTAACTCTGCAAGACGAGAAACTTTATATGTCTTATCTGATAAACAATCTTATGTAGAAACTATAAAGAACTTCTAATGCCTACATAGTTGACATCAACTTGCTTGGGATTGTGGCTTAAATGATGATGATGCTTCTCTAATGAAAGTATGGAACACAGAACAACAGCATTACACAAGATGGAATGGAATAGGCAGGCATTCAGTACGGGTATGTATCTCTCTCTCTTTTTAAGGAGGATCAACAGTGTTCTACTTACCCTCCAGAGTGACTCGAACCACTTTGAGCAAGCCTCCCTTGTCCGTCTATTGATGGGATGGAATAGTACTTCACTTTGTCAGCCACCTCTGCACGCGTCAACTTTGTGCCCATTTGTAACACAGATTCTGCAATATGATTCAGTAAGTTGTCAAGGACTACGAAACCTGTGGAAGAAATGATCCTACGGCAAGTCTGCTTCCATAGACTTACAGAATGAGAGGACAAATCTTAAACATTGATACGGACAGGTCCACAGCGAAAAATCTTCCACAACCTTCCATACACTGAAAGTTCATCATAGGTCATACCCTTATCCATTTCATCCAGTTCGTTTCACAAATATTGTAATGCAGAATGAGAACTCTCCATAGTGAAGGATAAGAAAATACTAGAAACCGGAAACAATGATCACACGCAAGACTAGAAAAGGCATTAGAAACTGAAAATAGGCAGTACACTGAATCAATACCTGACTATAATTTGAACGTATAGGTTCCACTTCAGCAGTAGTACACTGAATCAATACCTGACTATAATTTGAATGTATAGGTTCCACTTCAGCAGTAGGTGGTGCAGCTACAATCTTTGTCGAGAATGAGTAACCGAGATGAATGGCAGCCCATTTCAGAAATGTTCGAAGATCCATCTTACTGATGCTTCCAATTGGATATCTATATCTGCTGAACTACAATCATACAGCAAATATACACAGTTATCACCTGAATAAGTGTTAGAAAAAAAAGAGAGAGATGCACTAATATACAATTCAATCTGTTATCTGTTTATCAACATGCTCTACAAGCACAGAAGATCAAATTACAATGAGAGTTCAAGCCAGGTGCAAATAAATTCAAACAGTAGTTGCTAGGTGGCCAAAAATCGTCTGTTGACTGATTCAACAAAAAATTCTTCTACCTTTGTTAAGTAACCACATAATCCTTCATCCATCCACATTGGAGCTACCAAAAACTAGATAAAAACCAGGTTTATTATGAAGCCACGGTAGCAGAGATGCTAACATGAACACTAAGACCGTTCAAACGCGAGCTTGAATGTTTTGCTACCCTAAGGGGTTGTTTGGTATTGGGGATGGGACAAAGTGATCCCATGGGATTAGTAATCATAAATGGTGGGATAAATAATCTCGGGACTAACTAATACATGTTCAATGTCTGATCCCCCATCTACGTACCTAACTGAGAAGCAATTACTTGGTCTTTATTTCAGAAATGGTTCTTCTTAGTCCAACCAACTATTAGTTGGCCAAACAATATGAGGGTAAAGGTTTCAGTTCCTGCATAAAGCAAATAATTAGATAAGGGTAAAATTTATCACATTATTACCTTGTAGTGTGGATTTTCCAGTGAGTGTTTGAAACATAAAATGTAGTGAAGAGACCAAAATTACAGAGGCCAGGATCTATCTCATTAGACAACACCTTTGCCCCATTTTGGCATCTGAACCGTCACACACATAAACAACACTGTTTGGCTCAATAATCAATTCAAAATAAATCATTTTCAACATAGAGTTATGATAGAACACTGTGTTGGTATTCTCCAGAAGTGAGGAAACCCTTAGGATTTCTCCTCTGAAGGTGACATATATGAATCAATAGAAAAGGCATGAAATCTTATAGTAGATCATCTGCTTACAGTTGGAGATGATCATTCTCTTTCTAATTTCATCCGCCAGTAAAAGTAAAAAACTTGCAAAATTTAAACCCTTAAAGTTCAGATCAAAGGTGTCAATAGACTCTACGGGAATATTCACTTCTCGGAATTTTAATGAGTCCTTGATATTAGAGAATGAATGTCATTTAAGAACAAAATCTAAGTAGGGTTGACTCCTAGAATTCATGAGGTTGGTTGTCAGCTTTGGTTTAGCACAGTGTTTTGGACAGTGAAAGGCGACAAACGGAGACAAGGGTCTGCCTTGCCTCGCCTCTCGCCAAAGGTGCAATGGTGATCGCCTTTGAGAACACTGGTTTAGCAGGCAGTAGCACAACAGGTCTAGCCGAGATTTCATGATGACCAAATTCACATCTTTGCAATGTTCAAATTTTCTACATGTATTAAAATTACTAAAAGGGCACTCAATTCTGGACCAGAAATATGCTGCCCAAGGCAAGGCAATAAAAAAGCCATTTGCAAATTGAAAATGAGCAAAGCAACTTTAAAGTAGTAAATTATTACTACAGTTGTAATTAGAGAACACCTATAAATCAGAATAGAAAATCTGATAAAGGAGAAAATAGTGGCACTTTGCTGATTTTATTGCCTATTTTCAGATCCCATAAAAAGTAAAAACAGTATAAACAAATTCTTTGCTTCCCGTTGAAAACTAACCATCAGTGTATTTGCCAATTCAAATGTCATCAGCTTTTACCTGTTCATCGCCATTTGCAATTTCTGCATTGACATCACCGGTGAGTAAACTACAGAGAAAACAAAGCTAAGTGCTGTTTACTTTTACCTTTAACAATAAGGTAGACAATCTGACCAGCTCAATGCAATTTATCAGTCAGAATAGCGTAAATGAAGACAGGGTACATGTATTACAGGACATGCACGGATAGGATAATAAAAATGCTTGCCAGCTCTAGAACACTATAGACGGAAATTAGCTGATGTGTAGCGGAAACCTGACCACTAATGTGACAAATCAAGGATCCCCTCAAAATTTGGCCATGCTGTAGCATTTTCAGTTTAACTACACCATGGGAAGTTCAATCCCAAAATTATACAAGTGAGACCATTCTTTAGTAACTAGTACATTTTAACAAAGCAGACCTCCACACGTACCATGTTTTCTCGGTAACAATTCACCAAATACGAATCCAGTTAATAATTTGAGTAATCAAACAGCACCAGTAATTATCTATCATTTTTTCACTGAAGGATGCTGTTGGTTCATGTAGGAAACTACCAAAGGTTCAAGCGACTACACCGATAGGGGAACATAATCACTGCAATTTCATTCTTCTCAGCAACTACAACGAAACTGTTAGCTATCTTGATGAAGATAGCTTGAAGAACAGTTCCTGCAACTCTAGAATGTTCTCAGATGGAAAGAGAAAGAACTGAATTCATTAGCACAAACTTGGAAGCTCTGTACATTTTATACAATGATAAACATATTGTTGTAACTAATCTAACTAACTCCTTACTAGCTAGTCCTCTAATCTTCTATTATTTACAAAATGACCCTAACTAAACTGCATTGTAACTAACTATGTAATGCCTTCTTCAATACTCCCCCTCAAGTTTGTAGGTATAAACAAGTTCAGTACGCCAAACTTGGACATCAAATACTCGTGTTGACACTTGCCCAGTCCCTTTGTGAGAATGTCAGCCTCTTGTTCCTTGGTGTTCAAATACTCAGTTCGAACTAGGCCATTTTGAATTTTCTCTCTTATGAAATGACAGTCCAGTTCTATATGTTTAGTTCTTTCATGTAGCACTGGATTGGCAGCAATTTGAATTGCAGACTTGCTATCACTATAGATGGTAACTGGAGTTAGAACTTCAGCTCCTAGTTCCTTGAACAGCTTCACTAACCAGACCACTTCAGCTACTGCACTTGCCATACTCCTGTACTCAGCTTCAGCTGAGCTTCGCGATATTGTTCCTTGTTTCTTGGATTTCCATGATATGAGGGACTCTCCCAGCTTCACCACAAATCCTGTAACTGATCTCCTTGTGTGTAAGCATGCCCCCCAATCTGAATCACAGTAGACTTTTAGCTGTTTGTTGTTCTTGCTGGATAACAACACACCCAGCCCTGCTTCACCTTTGATGTATTTGACCA